AGTTTAAATAGATTATAAGATAAATAGAAAGTTTTAGAATACTCAAAAAGTAGCTCTCATCTAACTTCCGAATTACCCCGCCGATTACCAAATTACTTTGACGTCTTGTAGAGAAGAAGGTATAGTTTCTAAATTTTTATATCACAACCTTGGCGAATTCATATTCGTGGCTGCGAATCCATTCTTGTGATTCTCGTGACGGAAAATCGTTAATAATACTTTAGTATAACGAGATGATCCACAAAAATCAGCCAGTCACGATAGAAGTTCGCCATGCTGAGAAAAGTAAATAAGTATTTAAAAAAAGAAATAAAGAAATAAAAGTGAAAACTTACCAAGAAAATAATCGGAAAGCAGACAAACCGCAAAAGGAAAAAAAAGCCAACGTATCGACACGACCCAAGAAAAGCGAAAGTAACCCGTGGTAGACATGTTTATTTGAACATTTCAATAAAATTAAAAAAAAAAACGATTATTTTTAGTGTAGAGGATACACAGTATAAATCCAAAAATTTAAACGGATACTTTCCTGATTTATCACCCAGCACAAAACGTCCGGCAAACGAAAGAAAGCCAAAGTCTCACTAAGTTATTGGATTTTAAAGAAATAAAATATATTCAAATTATAGATAAATTACTTACTACATGGCCTGTAAGCTGAGAATTAAAGATAGTTTGACGAAGAGATCGACGCATAGCAATAGACTCAAATTGCAATTTAATCGGAAAGATCGACATTAGTACTCGTTGACATGTATAACAAAAACAGCGAAATAAAAAATATTTTACCTTTTCTTTCAAAAATCTTTTTTCTATTTAGACCAGTTCTTACTTAATATAAGCCGAACTCATAATGCTTTGAAAACTACTAGTAATCAAAAAAAAAAGGAAGTATAAAGGACGAAAATATTTTGGCTGTAGAGAAATAACAAGCTATATGGTTCGTTGGTCACGTGAATTTCGTCAGGCGTCATTAGTGGAAACCGAACAAAATGGCCAGATCTCAGCAAGCACCACGAAATTCGAAAAGAGAATCCATGCACCCTATTGTAAAGGAAGAAAGAGGTTATGTAGTTAGTAGGTACCCGACCATGTGTACTAGAGAAAAATGCAACGTGCTTTATGCAAGACTTGTTATTGGTATTTAATGTCACGAATGATGTTTAAATTGGGTGATGCTGAAATTTGTGCGATCTTAAATTTTTGAGTTAGCTTTTTTTTCTTTTTTTTTTTTTAAAGGTAAATTAGGATTTAAGTTAGCAACATTAGCAAAAGAGTATAGGTTGATATTGTAGGGTTTATATTTTTAAATCAAGACCTTCAAATTTCAGCAACATTCGCGACATCAAATGAAAACGTACGGAAAGGCGAAAAGGATGTGTTTATTGATAGAATATATAAAATTTGTTGATCTCGCAATATTAAAATTAATATTTCTTCTTTATAGGAAATAATAAAAGTATTAAGGGTATTTCTTATGTACATAATGATGTGTCTTAATATTTAAGTAAACCTTTGAAGACCAATATTAATACTACTGTACGTACCGTCGTTGTTCTACTATAATCTTACAATTTGATTGGTCGATCGGCCAATAAAATCACGAGATGATCGCCAAAATCTAACCAATCACAATGAAAGTGCTACTTTTCTCTAATTTGATTTCTTTTTCGAATCGGGGTATAGATCGAATCTCATGTCATCACCAAATGTGACGAAACGAAATAACTCTATTCAGAAGAAAGTGGATTGGCCGGGTGAATATTTATTTATTAAATGTGAGATCCCTTGTACATATGATAGATGCTACTAATTATATACTCTTCTATTGTATATGCTACTGCTGCGCGCGATTTATTGTTTATATTCGATATGCCATATGCTAATCTTATCAAATATGATCGATTTACTACGTTTGATCGTATGCGTTGTTGGTCCCCTCCATTCGATTGTGACATTAACCATCCTTGATACAGAAATGACTAGAATTTTAATGTCATTAACTACAGGTTAGTAATCTTCCCTTTACTAGCGAGAATGCAGGTGTGCACATGGCGCGAGACAAGACAACAAGGACGGCAATAATAACAAGGACAACAACAACAACAACAACAATAACAAGACGACAAAGCGATGATTAGAAGAGGATGGGAATAGATATGTGCACTCCTTGCTATGGAGGTTAATTATATATAAGAGGTGGATTCTAAGGTCTGCTAGTTCCGTTCCGGTAAAAAGGAACTAGCTATGCACCTTTCTTAGAAAATGATATGTTCTTGTAAATTAATTTCCATACTCACGACTATAACTATCATAATACAGATACGATCTGGAATCTCAAGTCATCACCAAATATGACGAAGCGAAAATAATTCCATTCAAAAGAAGTGTGGATTTTGCCGGGTGAACATTTATTTATTAAATATGAAATCCCTTGTACATATGATAGATGCTACATTTGTATACTAACTATTCTATTATATATGCGAAATCTACTACTGCACTCGATCTATTGTTTATATTCAATATGCTACAGTACATGTACTTGGTCTGCTAATCTTATCAAATATGATCGATTTACTACGTTTGATCGTATGCGTTGTTGGTCACCTCTTTTCGATTGTGACGTTAACCATCATTGGTACAGAAATGGCTGGAATTTTAATGTCATTAGCTATAGGTTAGTAATCTTCTCTTTACTAGCGAAAATGCAGGTGTGCACATAGCGCGAGAAAAGACAACAAGGATGGCAAGAATAACAAGGGCAACAAACACAACAACAACAACAACAACAACAAGAACAAGACGACAAAGCGATGATTAGAAGAGGATGGGAATGGATATGTGCACACCTTGCTATGGAGGTTAATTATATATAAGAGGTGGATTCTAAGGTCTGCTAGTTCCGTTCCGGTAAAAAGGAACTAGCTATGCACCTTTCTTAGAAGATGATATGCTCTTGTAAATTAATTTCCATACTCACGACTATAACTATCACAATACAGATACGACCTGAAGTTAACGACCCTCGGTACAGAAGCCTTCAGAATTCCATCCCTGACGATTTTTGTTAATGATTGAATGTATGGTAGGTATCCTTTTAAAATCTTTACTTGCTTCATTATCCATTGTTAGGGGCAACAATCTCGTATTCGGGTTCAGTTTTTTGGTCCTTTCAGTCACGGACGTAGAGTTGCCCGCTGGAATATGCGGTTCGAAAACATGTGCGTTTAATATACTGGTTATTTTATATTTCTGTTGGCATTTTCGGGATGTAGTAAGTTCGGTTGCCGTTGGTCTTTTTTTTTTCATTACCATCTTTATTTGATTTCTATAACTTTGGTCAGAATGTTCTGGGATTAGAGACAACACGAAGTATGATGGTAAGCATACTATTTCTTTTACCTTGTTTCTATCCTTTATAGCTGCCTTTTCTAATTCTTCCAATAAAACTCTAGGGCCTTGGGAATCTGTTTACCTCGGGATATCACCAAAACCTTCATTTATTACTTTCTTGGAACTCTTTAATTTGTTCTGGAGCAAGTATTGCAAAAAGCATGTTGCATTTTTCTCCAGTACACATGTTTGAGCACCTACTAACTACATAACCTCTTTCTTCCTTTACAATAGGTGCATGGATTTCTCTTTAGAATTTCGTAGTGCTTGCTGAAATCTGGTCATTTTGTTCAGGTTTCCAATAATGAAGCCTGCCGAAATTCACGTGACCCGATGAACCATATAGCTTGTCATTTCTCAACAACTAAAATATTTTCGTCCTTGATACTTCCTATTTTTTTGATTACTAGTGTTTTTCAATGCAGTATGAGTTCGGTTTATATTAAGTAAGAACTGGTCTAAATAGAAAAAAGAGTTTTTGAAAGAAAAGGTAAAAAAAATATTTTTTATTTCACTTAGAGTTTTTGTTATATATGTCAACGATTACTAATGTCGATCTTTCCGACTAAATTGCAATTTGGAGTCTATCGCTATGCGTCAGTGATGATAAATTTTGGATTTGGACATTGTTCAATTGGTTTTGGACATATGTCCAATTAATTTTGGACATATGTCCAAATAGCTTGAAAACAATTGGACATAGTAGCCTTATCATCACTGCTATGTGTCGATCCTTCGTCAAACTATCTTTAATTCTCAGCCTATAGGCTATGTAATAAGTAATTTATCAGTAATTTGAATAATATTTTATTTCCTTTGAAGCCCAATAACTTTGTGAAACTTTGGCTTTCTTTCGTTTGCCGGACGTTTTGTGCTGGGTGATAAATCAGGAAAGTATCCGTTTAAAATTTTGGATTTACACTGTGTATCCTCTACACTAATAATAATCAGTTTTTTTTTTATTTTCTTGAAATGTTCAGGTAAACACGTCTACCATGAGTTACCTTCGTCTTTCTTGGGTCTTGCCGATACGTTGGTTTTTTTTTTCGTTTGTTGGATATTCTTGCGGTTTGACTGCTTTCTGATTATTTCCTTGGTAAGTTTTTATTCTTATTTCTTTATTTCTTTTTTTTTAATTCTTATTTGACTTCTCCCTAATTTGGGTTTCTTCTTCGAATCGGGGTATAGATCGAATCACAAGTCCCTATTTAGAAGAATGTGGATCGGCTGGGTGAATATTTATTTATTAAATGTAAGATCTCTTGTACATATGATAGATGCTACATTTGCTACTAACTACTCTTCTATTGTATATGTGAAATCTACTACTAATGTTATTTATGCTAATTGCACACGATTTATTGTTTATATTCGATATGTTATATGCACTTGGTCTGCTAATCTTATCAATGATCGATTTACTGCGTTTGATCGTATGCATTGTTGGTCCTCTCTTTTCGATTGTGACATTAACCATCCTTGATACAGAAATGGCCGGAATTTTAATGTCATTAATTAAGGTTAGTAATCTTCCCTTTACTAGCGAGAATGCAGGTGTGCACATGGCGCGAGACAAGACAACAAGGACGGCAAAAATAACAAGGGCAACAAACACAACAACAACAACAACAACAACAACAACAAGAACAAGACGACAAAGCGATGATTAGAAGAGGATGGGAATGGATACGTGCACACCTTGCTATGAAGGTTAATTTTAATATAAGAGGTGGATTCTAAGATCTGCTAGTTTCGTTTCGGTAAAAAGGAACTAGCTATGCACCTTTCTTAGAAAATGATATGCTCTTGTAAATAATTT